TCTTGCTGCGTGAGTTGCCAGGCTTGAATAGTACACGTGGCCACAGAGGCCAACAACGCTGATATCTTCACCAAGGCACTTGCGTCTCGTGACCATCAGCGGTTCTGTACTCAGCTTGTTCTAGTCTCAGTAGCAGCGCCACTCCTTGTATCCTTATATCTACTCTACCAGCTTGTATTTGCTATTTCTATACCTGCATGTCTTGCTACACCTGCTGACTGGCCTTGTGGCCCCTTGTCTTAGTGGTCAGACTAGTAGTGCTGCCCTAAGTTGTCTTATGGCAGGGCATGTCACCTAGGGCCTGACTAAGGAATACGCTTTTATGGTGGGGCGCAGGGCCTATATCCAGGGGAGAAATACGGTATGGCACTGGACTTGACCTATTTGCTGGCTTGTCTCTCTGGTGTTATGGACACTGGCTATATTGATTTTGTCGCTAAGCTGACTTGCTTGTTGGTCTGAGAGGAAGAGAAAGATTTCAAGTGCAACATGAAGAAATGTTTAGGGTGCAGCCAACCACTCAAGTAAATATTCTACTTTGACATCCTAGTGTCAAACATATCTGCATATGTTATTAGAGGCTAGGTAGGTGCATGCTCTTAGAGAGTACAACTCACTAGCACAAAGTCACCTTGTACCCTCCATTCTAGACAATGCGTTATTCTGAGATGGTATCATGCTAGGTTAGGTCCCTCACCTACGCTTCCTCCCTAGATCGCCCTAGTCCCTAGCGCCCGCCCTCATTCGTAGCGCCCGCCCTAGTCCCTAGCGCCTGCCCTATCATGCGCCAAGTGAGCCCTCGCCCGCTGGCCCCACGCTCGCCCGCTGGCCCACGCTCGCCGCTGGCCCCCACGCTTGCCCGCTGGCCCCGCGCTAGCCGCTGGCCCTTGCGCGTGCCGCGCGAGCGCTCGCCGCTGGCCCCATGCTCGCTCGCTGGCCTCGCGCTCGCCGCGGGCCCTTGCGCGCACCACGCGAGCCCTTACCGCTGGCCCCATGCTCGCCCGCTGGCCCCACGCTCGCTGCTGGCCCCACGCTCGACCGCTGGGCCCACGTTCGCGGCTGGCTCCTAGCTCGCCACGGCCCTTCGTTCGCCGCGCGCTAGCCCCAGCTCGCCGGCCCCAGCTCGCCGGCCCTAGCTCGCTCGCCTGCCCTAGCCCACCGGCCCTTGCTCGCCGTCCCTAACTCACTCGCCGGCCCTAGCTCGCCGGCCATCACTCGCTGGCCATCACTCGCCGGCCCGAGCTTGCCGGCCCGAGTTTGCCGGCCCGAGCTCGCCGGCCTCAGCTCGCCAACCCCAGCTCGACGGTGCTCGCTCGCCGGCCCGCCTCGCTAGCCGCCCTTTAGCTCGCTGGGCCCGGCTCGCCAACCCCAATTGGAGCCGGCCCCTGTTCGCGGCGGCCCCAGCTCCTTCCGGCCCCAGTTTGAGCCAGCCCCAGTTCGCGCCGGCCCCAGCTACCTCCGGCCCCAGCTCCTACCGCTCATGCATGCCACCGCCGCACCATCGGACTCTGCTTGCCAAGCTGAGCCGTCCCAGCCCACCGTGCCGCGGTGCCGTTGTGTGGCCGTGCCGCTGTGCTGCCGTGCCGTTGTGCTGCCATGTCGCTGTGTTTCCGTGCCGCCATGCCGCTGTGTCACCATGTCGCCGTGCCGTCGTGCTGCCGTAGCCGTGATGATGGCAGACACTGTGCTCCGCGTTGACGTGGAGGGTCGGGCTGTTGATTTTAAGGCGTGGCTCATTGACCGTCACCGTCAGCTGACGGGTCAGCACCAGGATGACTATTCCCTGGCCGTCCATGTCCATGGTAAGCTCCCCTGCCCCGACGCGCCTGCTTCCCTCTCTGCACCCCATGCCTGCTGAGCGTGAGGCCTTTGCCGCTGCTCAGCTTGCACGCGCTGTCTGGGAGTCGCGCGATGCCGTAGCGTAGCTTGCTGTTAGTCATGCCCTCCTCCTGTCTGAGCGTCCCCGCTTTACGGCTGTAGCGAATGCGAAGTAGTACTTATAGTAGATGCGGTCATTGCACGCTATTCCACTCCCTCCTCTGCCTCTGCCGACCGTCTGATCCTCCCCATGCTATTCCCTGATCTTGCGTCCTTCCCCACTGCCACTGATCTTGCCACTCATCTATGCGCCCTTGAGACAACCTACCGCGCTGCTAGCACTGAGGCCCAGCTCGCTGCATTCCCTCCTCCCCTTTACGCTACCTTTTACCTCATTGCCACCAGCGTTCCTGACCGCCTCGACACTGCACGTGACCACTTAGTCATCACCCAGGTGACCTCACCTTTACTGCCTTTGTCACCACCCTGTCTGCGATAAAGACCTGCCATCGCCCTATCCCTCAGTCTAGCGGTATTGTGGCAGTCCTTATCTTCTAGTGGTGTGCTCCCTCCCAGTGCACTTACTCTGACCTTCTGCCGCTGTCGCTGAGACAGCCCCTGCTGCTGAGACCGCCGCAGCGACGGCCTCAACGCAGCCTCGTCAAGGTAAGGGTCGCCGCCCCAAGGGGGGGGGGGGGTGGCGGAGGGAGGGGTGGTGGGGAGTGGCGGTGGTGGTGGAGGTGGTGCGAGTGCCGGCGATACCGACGAGGGGACCAGGGCTGATCTCCTAGAGCAGCAGCAGCAGCAGTCGCAGCAGCTGCAGCAATGGGGTCGCCTCCTGCCGGGATGTCCCGGCAGCTCTGGTGGTGGTGGCCGCGGTGGCGGCCCTCGCAGCTCGGTGTCGGGTGGCAGCTTCAGCCCCGTGAGTTGCCAGAACCAACTCCAGTCTGGTCCCCTTCGCAGCACTGTGTGTGGCCGTACCGGTCACACCCACCTTGACGACCTCTTCTGTCTCCGCTTCGGCCCTGCGCCGAACCTCCCCGACTGGCCCAGTCTCATGCGTTGCTGTGTGCCGGTCTTTGAGATGGATATGGATCAGATTTGCTCTGCTGTTTAGCCTTGGCTCTACGCTAGCTCCTCCACCGGCTGATGGTACTGCGGCTCACTCCTTTACGCTAGACTCTGGTGCGCCTGCCTACTTCTTCTGCGACCACACTGTGCTTACACCGCTTGCCGCCCCTGCCACTGTCGCGCTTGCTCACCCCTCCTCAGGTCCGGTAGTTGCATGTAGCTCCACTACCCTTCCCTGTCCGGTGGTTCCCTCGCGCTCTCTTACAGGCTTGCACACCCGCTCGATCTCCAGGAACCTAGTTGGTGTCGGCTGTTTTCAGGACCTTGGCGTCACCACTACGTACCCTGGTCACGAGCGGTACGCGGTCTGTACCGAGGCCGCCACTGGTGCCCCCCTCACCACGTTCTCCCGGGACCCGGTGTCTAGCCTGTTTACGCTGGACACTACGTCCCCCCTGGTGAGGACGTCCCCCCAGGTGCCTGCGTCTACCCAGGTCGCTCCAACTTGCTCGAGGCAGTCGCTCACCCCCGCGTCGCTACTGTGGCACCACCGCTTCAGTCACCCTGCACTCCCGCGTACGTCACATGTCCCAACACGGTCTTGCCTTAGGTCTCCCTCCCTCGCCTGCGCCGCCATGCATGCCCTGCGTCGAGGGTCGGCTGCGCCATGCTCCTCACTCCCCCTCGCTTCCCCCTACCACTGCGCCACTCCAGACCCTGCACCTGGACGTCTGGGGCCCATCCCGCGTCCTTGGGCTGCGTCGAGAGCGCTACTTTCTAGTGCTTGTCGATGACTACACGCGCTACACCACGGTGTTTCCCCAAGAGCAGAAGGCCGACGTGCCTGACGTTCTTATCTTGTGGTCGTAGCTGCGCGAGTCCACCGCGACCTCCCTGTGCTGCGTCTTCACTCCAACCGTGGCGGCGAGTTTGCCTCCGGTCGGCTTGGCCAGTTCTGTCGTGCGGAGGGCATCATCCAGTTGTACACCCTGCCGGACTCCCGTAGCGGAATGGGGGTGCGAGCCCTGGGGGCGCGAGCTCTGAGGGTGCGATCTCTAAGGAGGGTTCTAGTTCTGGGGGTACTATCGTGGCTTGTCCCGGCGGTCCTGGGGGTGGCACCCGTGCTGGAGAGGGTTCTTTTTCTGGGGGTGCTAGTCTTGGGGGTACTTTCGTGACTTGCCCCGACGATCCTGGGGATGGCACCGGTGCTGGAGAGGGTTCTCGTTCTGGGGGTGTTAGTCCTAGGGGTACTGTCGTGGCTTGTCCCAGGGGTTGGGGGGGTGTCACCGGTGCTGGAGAGGATTCCGTTTTGGGGGTGCTATTGTGGAGCGACCCAGAGGTAGCCGTGGTGTGGCTGGAGGTTCCGGCATCAGCGTGGAGCAGCAGCAGCAATCGCCGCCAGTGGTCCTTACAGGGCACACAGACGCTTCGTGGGCAGACGATGCTGAGACGCTCAGGTCCACCCAGGGCCGCTGCTTCAGCCTTGGTGCAGGCGCCATCTCGTAGAGGTCCACCTGCTCGTCACCCGTTGCACAGCCTAGTTGTGAGGCTGAGATCTACGCTGGTGCCATGGCGGCACAAGAGCTCCGCTGGCTGACTTTCTTGCTCACTGACTTAGGTGAGCGGCCTAGCTCTGCCCCGGTCTTGTACGCCGACAACAGGGCCATGATCCTCCTGTGTCAGGAGGCTCGACTGGAGGGCAGAGTGAAGCACATCCAGCTGCGGTACTTCCTTCTGTGCGAGCTACAGCAACAACACCAGGCCCGCGTAGTTCAATTGGCCTCCGACGCCAACACAGCTGAAATCTTTACCAAGGCGCTTGCGCCTAAAGATCATTAGCGGCACTGTGTACAGCTTGGTCTGGTTCCAGTAGTTCCTCACTTGCTAGGACCTTGATTGTGTACTACTCTTTTATATATTCTCCTGATTGGCCTTGTGGCTACTGATCCAAGGGCCGGACTAGTAGTGCCGCCCTGGTTGGCTCGTCTATTTTGTACTCTTCGGACTGGTCTTCTGACCCTTGCCTCAGAGGTTGGACTAGTAGTGCCACCTGAGCTGCGTGTCTCTTGCCAGGCACTGCCCCTTGTCTAGCCTAGGGGTTGTGTCAAACATATATGCATATGCTATTATTGGCTAGATAGGTGGATGCTCTTAGAGAGTACAACTCACTAGCACAAAGTCACCCTGTACCCTCCATTCTAGTCAATGCATTATTCTGAGACCTAGCCCCTACCTATCAGCTAAAACTTCCTCAATTTCAAGCCTCGCGTCCTCTTAGCCAAGAGTGAGATAGCAGCAACAGCAGCAGCAGCAGCAAGGAGACTGATGGCAGCAGCAGCAAGACTGATGGCAGTCTGGGCGAGACCAGGTGGTTCCTGAGAGGAGGATGCCGGTGCTGCTGTGGGTGCTGGCACTGGAGTCTGTGGGCCAAGGGGTGAGTGCAGCAATCTCAGCAAGGCAGGTAAGCAGTGTCAGATCTCATTGTGTCAGACCTCAAGGCAGTTACACAATCAACACAGTGGATTTCATTCACGGATGGTGGCAGATGGTGGGCACACTTGTGCATGGGCGCAATGCATTCATGTCATGAGCAGCTCACGGTCAGTCTTCCATTAGACTCAGATCGTGAGCCATCAGGTGCTCTAATGGAGCCGTCGTCGAATCTCCGGGAAGAAGCATCTGCACATGCGTGCAGGCTTGGCAGCACGGAGACTTACACGTGTGGGGCGTGCAGGAGGAGCAGAAGGAGAAGCAGAGGCGGCAGAAGCTGGTGGCGTTGCTCTGCTGCACCACACACTTGCTGCCGTCTGCAGGGCAGGTCAGCCCCGAGCCAGAGATGCTCCTGGGAGCGAGGGGGAAGAAGGGAGGGTGGGGGGGGTGGGGGAGGGAGGGGGGGGGGAAGGGATAAGGGAAAAGGGAGGAGAAGGCCAGGGCAGGTTGGTGTAGCTGGAATTGGAACGAGCAGGAGGGGCATGGCTGTGGCACTGGAGCATGCCACACATTGCTGGAATGGTGAGAGGTGAATCACGGTGTAGACCTGTGTCATGTGAAGTGGAGCAGTATACACGATTGTGGAGGTGCAACCATGGGATATGGGTGCGTGGATGCATTACTCACAGGGATGTCAGCTCAACAAGCATGCCTATGCCAGCAGGTATGGGCCCACGCAAATTGTTGCCTCCAAGGCCCCTGCCATGCCACACCATGCCATGCCATGCAAGCGATGAAACCATATAAATGCCAGTAACCACAATGCCAGCATTCGCAGCTCTTCTTTAAGGCGAAAATGCAACGGCTTGGTACAACTCTACAGACCTGAATGCAGCACCGAGACGCATCATACAAGTTAGTGCAGCAATGTCCGCTCGGCTCCAATTCACTTCATGCCCACCCCCCTGCCTGACGCCAGGGAGGGCTGTGCGCGGCTCACAGGTGCTGCAGAGATGTGAGGAGGCTGATGGACGCAGGGAGAGAGCGCTGAAGTGGTTGCTGCTCACATCGCTGGGGGAGAATCAGGGAGGGCAGGGGCAGGTTGGTGAATGCAGCCGCTGGCACTCAAGTAGGGTCAGTCGCTGAAAGGCTGGACTAGCAGACTCATCACCATCCTTGATGCCAATGCATGCTGTTGCATACCATTGCGTACCATTGCATGCCATTGCATACCATTGCATACCATTGCATACCATTGCATACCATTGCATACCATTGCATGCCATTGCATACCATTGCATACCAATGCATGCCATTGCATACCATTGCATACCATTGCATACCAATGCATGCCATTGCATACCATTGCATACCATTGCATACCATTGCATACCATTGCATGCCATTGCATACCATTGCATACCATTCCATACCATTGCATGCCATTCCATACCATTGCATACCAATGCATGCCATTGCATACCATTGCATACCATTGCATCCCATTGCATGCCATTGCATACCATTGCATACCATTGCATACCATTGCATACCATTGCATACCATTGCATACCATTGCATACCATTGCATGCCATTGCATACCATTGCATCCCATTGCATGCCATTGCATACCATTGTATACCATTGCATGCCATTGCATACCATTGCATACCATTGCATGCCATTGTATACCATTGCATACCATTGCAGACCATTGCATACCATTGCATACCATTGCATCCCATTGCATACCATTGCATACCATTGCATGCCATTGCATACCATTGCATACCATTGCATACCATTGCATACCATTGCAGACCATTGCATACCATTGCATACCATTGCATCCCATTGCATACCATTGCATACCATTGCATGCCATTGCATACCATTGCATACCATTGCATACCATTGCATACCATTGCATGCCATTGCATACCATTGCATACCATTGCATACCATTGCATGCCATTGCATACCATTGCATACCATTGCATGCCATTGCATAACATAGCATACCCATGCATACCAATGCATGCCATTGCATACCATTGCATACCATTGCATACCATTGCATGTCATTGCAAACCATTGCATGCCATTGCATACCATTGCATGTCATTGCAAACCATTGCATGTCATTGCAAACCATTGCATACCATTGCATGCCATTGCATACCATTGCATACCAATGCATGCCATTGCATACCATTGCATACCATTGCATACCATTGCATACCATTGCATACCATTGCATACCATTGCATACCATTGCATACCATTGCCTACCATTGCATGCCATTGCATAACATAGCATACCAATGCATACCAATGCATGCCATTGCATACTATTGCATACCATTGCATACCATTGCATGCCATTGCGTGTCATTGCATACCATTGCATGCCATTGTATACCATTGCATGCCATTGCATACCATTGCATGCCATTGCATGCCATTGCGTGCCGTTGCATACCATTGCATGGCATTGCGTGCCAGTGCATGCCATTGCATGCCATTCCATTCCAGTCTATGGAAAGCCATAGCACCATGTGCCCATGCCAGCAATCTCAATATGTCAGATCTTCGTAAATGCGACTCTACAGACCTGCAGGCAGGACCAACAAGTGCCACACCAACAAGTGCCATAACCGCTACGTGGCTCGAACACAGTGTTCAAGAACCTCCAGAACACTTCTTGACGTCACTTCCCCCTGCCCATCACACTGCCTGAAGCCAAGGAGGGCTGTGCGCGGCTCACAGGTGCTGCAGTGATGTGAGGAGGCTGATGGACGCAGGGAGCGAGCCACTGAAGTGGTTGCTGCTCATGTCGCTGGGGGAGAATCAGAGAGGGAAGAGTGGAAGGGGGAGTGAAAGATAGGTAAATACCCTATTTGGCATCAACCCAAATTTTCCAGGTTGAGTTGGTCCAAGCAACCACCTTTAACAAGGTCCCTCGCTAGCATGCCTTGCTTCTCTGAGGTTGGTACACCAACCTAACCATGAGCGCAGAGGGCCGTGCCTCAGATCGGCTCGTGACTCTCACAAGCCGAGCCGAGCCCACTGGCCGCCTGTGCTCAGGCTGAGCCATGGCGAGCCTGACTCGCGGAGCTACGGGCGCCTCACCGGCTGGGCACCCAGTCTCCCTGAAGAGAAGCAGCTGCCGCCTCGCCACCTCACCGCCTCGCCATCTCACCGCCTCGCCACCTCACCACCTCGCCACCTCACCGCCTCGCCACCTCACCGCCTCTCCGCCTCAATGCCCCACCGCCTCACCGCCTCACTGCCTCACTGCCTCACCGCCTCACCGGCTCGACACATAGTCTCCCTGAACAGGAGCTGCTGCCACCTCACCTCCCCACCAGCTCAACGGCTCAACTCAGCACCCTGCCAGCACCGCGCAGTGGCGTTGGAGCTGGCTTGTTTCTTCTTCAAGCTTCCAAGGCAGCTCTGCATAGAAGATCTGCTCCGTCTTTTAAGGTCATCCTGTGCGGCTACACTGTAGTACAAGTGACTGACTGCAGCACGGTGACTAGAATGGTAAGGTGCTGCTTGTATGCTTGAAGGTTTAATGCTGACGGGGGGAAGTGTGACAGAATGGTTGGGGATTGGCTGAGGATGGGGTTAGTGGGGGTGTGGCTGGCTACAACGAAGGCATGTTCAGCGAGTGAGCCAAAGCTGGCTCGCAAGATGGCTAAGCGAGCCGACCGCAGAATGATTTCGACAACAGCTTGCTCTTGCTCTCTTCTCCAACAGCACGATTTCGACTGTCAACTAGTGGCATTTTCTAGAGAGGTGAAGATAAAAGGCACACACACACTGACAGAGGCAGGTGAGCATGGGTGCATGGGTGCAAAGATTTGGAGTTAGATCAATCGATGCATGACATGATGATGCATGCCCACAGCATGATGATGCATGCCCGCAGCATGATGATGCATGCCCACGGCATGATGATGCATGCCCACAGCACGATGATGCATGCCCACAGCACGATGATGCATGCCCACAGCATTATGATGCATGCCCACAGCATGATGATGCATGCCCACAGCATGATGATGCATGCCCAGTGCATGATGATGCATGCCCCCAGCATGATGATGCATGCCCACAGCATGATGATGCATGCCCAGTACATGATGACGCATGCCCGCGGCATGAGGACGCATGCCCGCGGCATGACGACGCATGCCCGCGGCATGACGACGCATGCCCACAGCATGACGATGCATGCCCCCAGCATGACGACGCATGCCCCCAGCATGACGACGCATGCCCACAGCATGACGATGCATGCCCACAGCATGACAATGCATGCCCACAGCATGATGATGCATGCCCACACCATGATGATGCATGCCCACAGCATGATGATGCATGCCCACACCATGATGATGCATGCCCACACCATGATGATGCATGCCCACAGCATTATGATGCATACCCACAGCATGATGATGCATCCCCACACCATGATGATGCATGCCCTGCCCACAGAATGATGATGCATGCCCACAGCATGATGATGCATGCCCCCAGCATGATGATGCATGCCCACAGCATGATGATGCATGCCCACAGCATGATGATGCATGCCCCCAGCATGATGATGCATGCCCCCAGCATGATGATGCATCCCCACACCATGATGATGCATGCCCACAGCATGATGATGCATGCCCACACCATGATGATGCATGCCCACAGCATGATGATGCATCCCCACACCATGATGATGCATGCCCCCAGCATGATGATGCCTGCCCACAGCATGATGATGCATGCCCACAGCATGGTGATGCATGCCCACGGCATGATGATGCATGCCCACAGCATGATGATGCATGCCCACAGCATGATGATGCATGCCCACAGCATGATGATGCATGCCCACAGCATGTTGATTCATGACCCCAGCATGATGATGCATGCCCACAGCATGATGATGCATGCCCACAGCATGATGATGCATACCCCCAGCATGATGATGCATGCCCCCAGCATGATGATGCATGCCCGCATCATGATGATGCATGCCCACAGCATGATGATGCATGCCCACAGCATGATGATGCATGCCCACAGCATGATGATGCATGCCCACACCATGATGATGCATGCCCACACCATGATGATGCATGCCCACAGCATTATGATGCATACCCACAGCATGATGATGCATCCCCACACCATGATGATGCCTGCCCTGCCCACAGAATTGATCAATGTGTAGTATTCTGTGGTGTAGTTTGCTCTAGCTGGTTGTGGGCTATTGGGTTTTGGGCAAAAGGACTTGGGTTGGTTGGCAAGGTTTGAACTCGTTACCTTTCCAACCCATACAACCTCAAATCCACTACAACATCTTTGATGTTGCAGTCATGGCACTTGAGAGTGTTGGGGTTTGGTCTAGGGCAAGGGTTGGTGGTGTTTGACAATCACATACTGCAACTTTTCCAGATCCAACTGCTTCCCTTCTCGTTTTTACTAGGTGATTCATGGCTGCCTAGCCAAATTACCAGAATACCCCCTCACACTGATTTCGTCATAATCGGCGGCTCAGATCTTGGTTATGAACGTGCTTTACCATTCTGGAAAGTAGAGATTAAGACCTTTCCAACGCGTATAAGCTCATTTCTAGAAGTTACCTGAGCAGCACGCAATGATCCGTTGAGGTCGTCAGACTTAATCTCTAATTAGTTCTCTCCAGATTTGCACGGTTTCCATCAGTGGTATCAGAGCCACGGTTAGAAGACGTTCTTTCCTCCATTGGAAGAGATCTAGAGAGGCTTGAAGTGCTCTAGATCTAGGGTTTGACATGGCCCAAAAGTTGGATGGCCCTCCTAGGTTTACCGGCTCGGACTTTTCGCTATGGAGGTTCCAGTTCACACTATGGCTAGGTATTAAGGACCTAGAAAGTGTGTTGGATGGATCAGAGAAGCGACCACGAGCTGACTCTGGGGAGGCGTCTACTGGAGCAGCCAGCCAAGTGGGATCCGGGGCTGGGGGAGCATCGTTGAGTGGGGGGAATGAAGGAGGAACTGCTGCAACTCGAACCGGAAGGTCGCAACCAAGTCGCGAGGAGTTGCTCAAAGCTCAAGAAGCATGGGATCGGAAGGATCGCCAGGCATTTCAGTACCTGTGTTGGGCTTTGGAGGGGCAACTTGAGCTTCTTAAGATGCTGATTGACCTGAAGGGGAAGGAAGGTGCAGCAGCTGCAGCTTGGAAAAGAGTGCAAGATAGGCACTTGCAGAAAGGGCTTCTAAGCGTGCTTACTTGGCGGAAGCGGTTTTACACCATGGAGCGGAACTATGGGGAGGGGGAGACCATGGTTCAGTATCTCCAGAGGGTGGATGAGAATGTGAGGGCTTTGGAGGAGCTGGATTACACGGTAGATGAGAAGGAGATCATCTATACTGCACTCCAAGGGTTGGATCAAGCGGCTAATGAGGCATTACTACAGTACCTTCACCTCGAGCAACAGAAATGGACCAAGATGTGGATTTGGGAGGTTCTAATTTCTGATGAGGCTCGCAAGGTTGATGCTGGAAGAGGCCTAGTAGGAGGCATGGGTGCAGCAGATAAAGCTTCCTTCACGAAAGGCTATCAACAGCAAGGAGGTGGGGGGAAGAAGAAAGAGTTGGACAAATACCTTGTGCCCGGATGCAACAAAAAACACTCTTGGAAGAGTTGCTGGAGTAGGCCTGAGGGATGGAAGCCTCACGGCTACTCAGGAGAGGCCCCACCAGTGACCAAACCTGATTGGGTGGAGAAAAGGATGAAGAAGGGGCTCTGGAATAAGAAGGGCAGCAAGGGAGCAACGGCGGCAGCTGCTAAGGATGAGAAGGGGAAGGGCCAAGACGACTCCTCCGATGATGGTTTCTCGTTTCTCATGCTAGGGCAGGATGCATCTCTCGTTGGTCGTGCATTGGCTGATCCCAACTTCCTGGTTCTAGACTCTGGAGCAACATCTGGGATGCTTCCTCGCCGTGATCTCTTCACCTCCTACCATCCTCTCCCACCAAACTCTAGGAGAGTGATTGTTGGGAGCGGAGATTTGCTGCAGGCAATTGGCATCGGCACGATCACCATTGAGGGGAAGGAGGGGGAGCTAGTGGGTGTGAAGGGGGTCCTTCACGTCCCTGGTTTGGCTGCAAACCTCCTTTCATGCTCGCAGCTGGCTAAACATGGATACATCTGCACTTTCACTGAGGGAGGGTGCACTGTTAGAAAGGGTGAAGCTGTGGTGATGGAGGCAAAGCTGGACAAGGGTTTATACCTTGTTCCAGCTTGTGTGCCTAATTGTTACAAGGCACATATGGTTTTTTCTGAGGAAGCCGCTTGTAGCACTCGCTGGAGGCAGGTGGAAACGGTGTCACCTGAGTTGCTACACCTTCGCATGGGGCACGCGGGGAAGCAGCAACTACTGGAGTGTGTGAAAAAGGGGGAGCTGAAGGGGGTGGAGGTCAAGGAAGGAACTGGGCAGCAGAGAAAATGTCATGACTGCACATCTAGAAAGCTGCCTAGAACCTCATTCCCTATCTCCTCTGATCATGCCTCGACTCCCCTTGAGCTTGTGCACACGGATGTGTGTGGACCGATGCAAACTCCTGACCGGGAAAGGGGCAGCAGGTACTTTGTCACCTTTCTTGATGATTTCAGTCGACTTAGCTGGGTCATCTTGGTGAAGACCAAGGATGAGGTGGCAAAGGTGTTTAAGCGGTGGATACGCTATGTGGAGAGGGAATCAGGGGCCAAGGTAAAGGTGTTAAGGTCAGATCGGGGTGGAGAGTACCTTGGGAAAGAACTTCAAATCTTCTTGGAAGAAAAGGGTATTTCCCACCAGCTCTCTGTACCTTACACGCCGCAGCAAAATGGGGCAGCGGAGCGGCTTAACAGGACCTTGACCGATTTGGCTCGGGCCATCCTTGCCCATGCCGAGCTTGATAACACTTGGTGGGGGGCAGCAGTGCAGTATGCCAACTGGGTGAAGAACAGGATGGGCAGCAAGGGGCTTGGAGGCAAGAGCCCATACTCCTTATGGACAGGGAAGGTGCCGAATGTTTCCATGGCACGAGTGTGGGGGTGCATGGCTCAGTATAAGGTACCTGACCAGCAAAGGAGGAAGCTAGATCCTAAGGCACAGTGGGGGATTTTCCTTGGGGTTTCTGAGAGGAGCAAGGCTTGGGTGCTATGGAGTGTAGCTGACCAGCGTGTGATGGAGAGCCGTGATGTGATTTTCCATGAGGGGCTGAATTATAAGGGGTGGAAGGAGCGTGGTGCAAGCCATAGTGGGACTTCCATTCAAGACCCTCATGCGGCCTCTATCTTTGAGGGGGCATGGGAGGACCCTGGAGATGAAGGGGAGGAGCAGCAGGGGGAGCCAGAACCAGCTGATTCTAACCATGAGGAGTCCCGAGAGACAGATTCTACCCCTCAGCCGGCCACGCAGGCCGATGCGCATGATGATCAGCCGGAGCACCATGTGACTTCAACTCCATCGAGAAGCAGTTGGCAGGAGTTGTTGGACCAGCAGCTGTCCAAGACTCCGAGGACTCCAATGAAGAGGGTGACTTGGGAGGAGAAGCTGCGGAGGCTGGAAGAAGGAGAGGCAACACTTCTGCGACGCAGTGCTCGAATTTCCCAGCCACCTGAAAGGTTTACCCCGGGGCACATTGCACGCATGCATGATCATCTTGTATCTGATTTGGATGATTGCATGCTTGTGGACATGCATGGGCATGAGTATGCTCTTGATGTGTGTCTAATGGGTCAGGTGCATGAGCCTAGGTCAGTCCACGAGGCGCTGAACCGTCCAGAATGGGTTGAGTCCATGCATGAGGAGCTTGAGTCTCACAAGGTAAATGGATCATTTGAGCTGGTTGATCCAGCAGTGGTACCACCTGGTTTGGAGGTCCTCAGGTGTCAATGGGTTTGGAAATACAAGCATAACCCTGATGGTACCGTTGAGAGGCCTAAGTCCAGACTGGTAGTGATGGGAAACATGCAGAAATTGGGAGTACACTATGAAGAAGTGTACTCTCCAGTTGGGAAGCATGCGACCTTGAGAGGTATGCTTGGAATTTCGGCTGCTTTGAAGCTTGATATCCATCATATGGACGTCAAGACAGCCTTCCTCCATGGGGATTTGGAAGAAGAGCTTTACATGCGGCAACCTCCTGGTTTTGATGATGGGTCTAACCGAGTGTGTCGCCTCAAAAGGTCCATTTATGGGCTGAAGCAAGCCCCACGACAGTGGTACCTGAAATTTGATGAGGCTCTCATGGATTTTGGGTTTGAGAGATTTGAGTGTGACCCTGCCTTGTACCACTTTGTGCGAGATGAGGAGAGGATCTCCTTATTCCTCTATGTGGATGACCTTTTGCTCCTATGCTCTAGTAAGGTTTTGCTAGATCGAGTGAAAGACTTCTTGTCCTCGCGTTTTCGCATGAAGGACTTGGGGGAGGTGAAGTACTACTTGGGAATGCAAATTGAGCGTGATGAGAGTGGTATCTTGATTCATCAAGAGAGGTACATTCTTAACATGCTTCAGTCCTTTGGTCTTTCAGAGGCCAACCCCGTGCGTACTCCTCTCCCGACAGGCTTTGATGTGCATGCCTATGAGGATGAACCTTTGCTGCGAGATGAGCTGGTCAAGCTCTACCAAAGCATTGTGGGATCCCTCATGTATGCTTGTACTACCACACAGCCACAGATTGCATTCGCAGTCTCACAGCTATCTAAGGTCGCCTCTTGTCCTAAAATGTTCCACTTGCAGGCCGCTAAGAGAGTGCTGAGGTACCTGAAAGGTGGTGTCAAGTCAGGTATCTTCTTCCAAACACAGCCCCAATATCAGGTCCAGCTGGTTGGCTTCAGTGATGCCGACTATGCTGGAGATTCCGCAAGTCGCAAGAGCCACAGTGGGTATGTGTTCTGTCTGAATGGGGCAGCTATCTCTTGGCAGAGCAAGAGGCAGCCCGTGGTGGCACTCTCTACCACTGAGAGTGAGTACATAAGTCTGTGTCAGTGCATTCAGGAGGGTGTGTGGCTGAGGCGTTTGTTTGGGGAGTTTGGCCATGCTCATGCTGGTGGTGTGCCTGTGTTTGTGGACAATCAGTCTCCCATTGCCCTTGCACAGAATGCATGCTTGCATGGCCACACCAAACACATGCAGGTCCGGTGGCATTTCATTCGGGAGATGGTGGCTGCGGGAGAGGTGATTTTGCAGTGGTGCCCCACCAACCGTCAGGCTGCTGATATCCTTACCAAGTCTCTTCCATTTGAGCGCCATGGTGTGTGCATGACCTTGCTCGGGATGCAGCCCCATGATGACAGGGTTCTCGCAGCAGATGCCGGCGTCTTGGTGCTCCTCTCCTTGGCGGACTCCATGCTCTGGGTGGCCCCAACCCATGAGCAAGGGGGAGTGGTGTGAAGTCTTTTGCCCTAAGGTGTTGAGCCACACCCAGCACGAGCAAGGGGGAGTGATAAATGTGTAGTATTCTGTGGTGTAGTTTGCTCTAGCTGGTTGTGGGCTATTGGGTTTTGGGCAAAAGGACTTGGGTTGGTTGGCAAGGTTTGAACTCGTTACCTTTCCAACCCATACAACCTCAAATCCACTACAACATCTTTGATGTTGCACTCATGGCACTTGAGAGTGTTGGGGTTTGGTCTAGGGCAAGGGTTGGTGGTGTTTGACAATCACATACTGCAACTTTTCCAGATCCAACTGCTTCCCTTCTCGTTTTTACTAGGTGATTCATGGCTGCCTAGCCAAATTACCAGAATACCCCCTCACACTGATTTCGTCATAATCGGCGGCTCAGATCTTGGTTATGAACGTGCTTTACCATTCTGGAAAGTAGAGATTAAGACCTTTCCAACGCGTATAAGCTTGTTTCTAGAAATTACCTGAGCAGCACGCAATGATCCGTTGAGGTCGTCAGACTAAATCTCTAATTAGTTCTCTCCAGATTTGCACGGTTTCCATCAAGAATGATGATGCATGCCCACAGCATGATGATGCATGCCCACACCATGATGATGCATGCCCCCAGCATGATGATGCATGCCCACACCATGATGATGCATGCCCACACCATGATGATGCATGCCCACAGCATGATGATGCATCCCCACACCATGATGATGCTTGCCCACAGCATGATGATGCATGCCCACAGCATGATGATGCATGCCCCCAGCATGATGATGCATACCCCCAGCATGATGATGCATGCCCACAGCATGATGATGCATGCCCACAGCATGATGATGCATGCCCCCAGCATGATGATGCATGCCACACCATGATGATGCATGCCCACAGCATGATGATGCATCCCCACACCATGATGCTTCTTGCCCACAGCATGATGATGCATGCCCACAGCATAATGATGCATGCCCCTAGCATGATGATGCATGCCCCCAGCATGATGATGCATGCCCACAGCATGATGATGCATGCCCACAGCATGATGATGCATGCCCACACCATGATGATGCATGCCCACAGCATGATGATGCATCCCCACACCATGATGATGCATGCCCCCAGCATGATGATGCCTGCCCACAGCATGATGATGCATGCCCACAGCATGATGATGCATGCCCACAGCATGATGATGCATGCCCACAGCATGATGATGCATGCCCACAGCATGATGATGCATGCCCACAGCATGATGATGCATGCCCACAGCATGATGATGCATGCCCACAGCATGTTGATTCATGACCCCAGCATGATGATGCATGCCCACAGCATGATGATGCATGCCCACAGCATGATGATGCATACCCCCAGCATGATGATGCATGCCCGCAGCATGATGATGCATGCCCACGGCATGATGATGCATGCCCACAGCATGATGATGCATGCCCACAGCATGATGATGCATGCCCACACCATGATGATGCATGCCCACACCATGATGATGCATGCCTACAGCATTATGATGCATACCCACAGCATGATGATGCATCCCCACACCATGATGGTGCATGCCCTGCCCACAGAATGATGATGCATGCCCACAGCATGATGATGCATGCCCACAGCATGATGATGCATTCCCCCAGCATGATGATGCATGCCCACACCATGATGATGCATGCCCACACCATGATGATGCATGCCCACACCATGATGATGCATGCCCACACCATGCTGATGCATGCCCACAGCATGATGATGCATCCCCACACCATGATGATGCTTGCCCACAGCATGATGATGCATACCCCCAGCATGATGATGCATGCCCACAGCATGATAATGCATGCCCACAGCATGATGATGCATGCCCACAGCATGATGATGCATGCCCACAGCATGATGATGCATGCCCACACCATGATGATGCATGCCCACAGCATGATGATGCATGCCCACAACATGATGATGGATGCCCACAGCATGATGATGCATGCCCACAGCATGATGATGCATGCCCACAGCATGATGATGCATGCCCCCAGCATGATAATGCATGCCCACACCATGATGATGCATGCCCACAGCATGATGATGCATCCCCACACCATGATGCTTCTTGCCCACAGCATGATGATGCATGCCCCCAGCATGATGATGCATCCCCACACCATGATGATGCATGCCCCCAGCATGATGATGCATGCCCACAGCATGATGGTGCATGCCCTGCCCACAGCATGATGATGCATGCCCACAGCATGATGATGCATGCCCACACCATGATGATGCATGCCCACAGCATGATGATGCATGCCCACAACATGATGATGGATGCCCACAGCATGATGATGCATTCCCACAGCATGATGATGCATGCCCACAGCATGATGATGCATGCCCCCAGCATGATAATGCATGCCCACACCATGATGATGCATGCCCACAGCATGATGATGCATCCCCACACCATGATGCTTCTTGCCCACAGCATGATGATGCATGCCCACAGCATAATGATGCATGCCCCCAGCATGATGATGCATGCCCCCAGCATGATGATGCATGCCCACAGCATGATGATGCATGCCCACAGCATGATGATGCATCCCCACACCATGATGATGCATGCCCACAGCATGATGATGCATGCCCCCAGCATGATGATGAATGCCCACAGCATGATGATGCATACCCCCAGCATGATGATGCATGCCCACAGCATGATAATGCATGCCCACAGCATGATGATGCATGCCCACAGCATGATGATGCATGCCCACAGCATGATGATGCATGCCCACAGCATGATGATGCATGCCCACAGCATGATGATGCATGCCCACAGCATGTTGATTCATGCCCCAGCATGATGATGCATGCCCACAGCATGATGATGCATGCCCACAGCATGATGATGGATGCCCACAGCATGATGATGCTTGCCCACAGCATGATGATGCATGCCCACAGCATGATGATGCATGCCCCCAGCATGATGATGCATGCCCCCAGCATGATGATGCATGCCCACAGCATGATGATGCATGCCCACAGCATGATGATGCATCCCCACACCATGATGATGCATGCCCCCAGCATGATGATGCATGCCCACAGCATGATGGTGCATGCCCTGCCCACAGCATGATGATGCATGCCCACAGCATGATGATGCATGCCCACACCATGATGATGCATGCCCACAGCATGATGATGCATGCCCACAACATGATGATGGATGCCCACAGCATGATGATGCATGCCCACAGCATGATGATGCATGCCCACAGCATGATGATGCATGCCCCCAGCATGATAATGCATGCCCACACCATGATGATGCATGCCCACAGCATGATGATGCATCCCCACACCATGATGCTTCTTGCCCACAGCATGATGATGCATGCCCACAGCATAATGATGCATGCCCCCAGCATGATGATGCATGCCCCCAGCATGATGATGCATGCCCACAGCATGATGATGCATGCCCACAGCATGATGATGCATCCCCACACCATGATGATGCATGCCCGCAGCATGATGATGCCTGCCCACAGCATGATCATGCATGCCCACAGCATGATGATGCATGCCCACAGCATGATGATGCATGCCCACAGCATGATGATGCATGCCCACAGCATGATGATGCATGCCCACAGCATGATGATGCATGCCCACAGCATGTTGATTCATGACCCCAGCATGATGATGCATGCCCACAGCATGATGATGCATGCCCACAGCATGATGATGCATACCCCCAGCATAATGATGCATGCCCCCAGCATGATGATGCATGCCCGCAGCATGATGATGCATGCCCGCAGCACGATGATGGATGCCCACAGCATGATGATGCATGCCCACAGCATGATGATGCATGCCCACAGCATGATGATGCATGCCCACACCATGATGATGCATGCCCACACCATGATGATGCATGCCCACAGCATTATGATGCATACCCACAGCATGATGATGCATCCCCACACCATGATGGTGCATGCCCACAGCATGATGATGCATGCCCACAGCATGATAATGCATGCCCAGAGCATGATGATGCATGCCCACAGCATGATGATGCATGCCCCCAGCATGATGATGAATGCCCACAGCATGATGATGCATACCCCCAGCATGATGATGCATGCCCACAGCATGATAATGCATGCCCACAGCATGATGATGCATGCCCACAGCATGATGATGCATGCCCACAGCATGATGATGCATGCCCACAGCATGATGATGCATGCCCACAGCATGATGATGCATGCCCACAGCATGTTGATTCATGCCCCCAGCATGATGATGCATGCCCACAGCATGATGATGCATGCCCACAGCATGATGATGGATGCCCACAGCATGATGATGCTTGCCCACAGCATGATGATGCATGCCCACAGCATGATGATGCATGCCCCCAGCATGATGATGCATGCCCCCAGCATGATGATGCATGCCCACAGCATGATGATGCATGCCCACAGCATGATGATGCATCCCCACACCATGATGATGCATGCCCCCAGCATGATGATGCATGCCCACAGCATGATGGTGCATGCCCTGCCCACAGCATGATGATGCATGCCCACAGCATGATGATGCATGCCCACACCATGATGATGCATGCCCACAGCATGATGATGCATGCCCACAACATGATGATGGATGCCCACAGCATGATGATGCATTCCCACAGCATGATGATGCATGCCCACAGCATGATGATGCATGCCCCCAGCATGATAATGCATGCCCACACCATGATGATGCATGCCCACAGCATGATGATGCATCCCCACACCATGATGCTTCTTGCCCACAGCATGATGATGCATGCCCACAGCATAATGATGCATGCCCCCAGCATGATGATGCATGCCCCCAGCATGATGATGCATGCCCACAGCATGATGATGCATGCCCACAGCATGATGATGCATCCCCACACCATGATGATGCATGCCCACAGCATGATGATGCATGCCCCCAGCATGATGATGAATGCCCACAGCATGATGATGCATACCCCCAGCATGATGATGCATGCCCACAGCATGATAATGCATGCCCACAGCATGATGATGCATGCCCACAGCATGATGATGCATGCCCACAGCATGATGATGCATGCCCACAGCATGATGATGCATGCCCACAGCATGATGATGCATGCCCACAGCATGTTGATTCATGCCCCCAGCATGATGATGCATGCCCACAGCATGATGATGCATGCCCACAGCATGATGATGGATGCCCACAGCATGATGATGCTTGCCCACAGCATGATGATGCATGCCCACAGCATGATGATGCATGCCCCCAGCATGATGATGCATGCCCCCAGCATGATGATGCATGCCCACAGCATGATGATGCATGCCCACAGCATGATGATGCATCCCCACACCATGATGATGCATGCCCCCAGCATGATGATGCATGCCCACAGCATGATGGTGCATGCCCTGCCCACAGCATGATGATGCATGCCCACAGCATGATGATGCATGCCCACACCATGATGATGCATGCCCACAGCATGATGATGCATGCCCACAACATGATGATGGATGCCCACAGCATGATGATGCATGCCCACAGCATGATGATGCATGCCCACAGCAGGATGATGCATGCCCCCAGCATGATAATGCATGCCCACACCATGATGATGCATGCCCACAGCATGATGATGCATCCCCACACCATGATGCTTCTTGCCCACAGCATGATGATGCATGCCCACAGCATAATGATGCATGCCCCCAGCATGATGATGCATGCCCCCAGCATGATGATGCATGCCCACAACATGATGATGCATGCCCACAGCATGATGATGCATCCCCACACCATGATGATGCATGCCCGCAGCATGATGATGCCTGCCCACAGCATGATCATGCATGCCCACAGCATGATGATGCATGCCCACAGCATGATGATGCATGCCCACAGCATGATGATGCATGCCCACAGCATGATGATGCATGCCCACAGCATGATGATGCATGCCCACAGCATGTTGATTCATGACCCCAGCATGATGATGCATGCCCACAGCATGATGATGCATGCCCACAGCATGATGATGCATACCCCCAGCATAATGATGCATGCCCCCAGCATGATGATGCATGCCCGCAGCATGATGATGCATGCCCGCAGCACGATGATGGATGCCCACAGCATGATGATGCATGCCCACAGCATGATGATGCATGCCCACAGCATGATGATGCATGCCCACAGCATGATGATGCATGCCCGCAGCATGATGATGCATGCCCGCAACATGATGATGCATGCCCCCAGCATGATGATGATGCATGCCCACAGCACGATGATGCATGCCCACAGCATGATGATGCATGCCCACAGCATGATAATGCATGCCCACAGCATGATGATGCATGCCCACAGCATGATGATGCATGCCCCCAGCATGATGATGAATGCCCACAGCATGATGATGCATACCCCCAGCATGATGATGCATGCCCACAGCATGATAATGCATGCCCACAGCATGATGATGCATGCCCACAGCATGATGATGCATGCCCCCAGCATGATGATGAATGCCCACAGCATGATGATGCATGCCCACAGCATGATGATGCATACCCCCAGCATGATGATGCATGCCCCCAGCATGATGATGCATGCCCACAGCATGATGATGCATGCCCGCAGCATGATGATGCACGCCCACAGCATGATGATGCATGCCCGCAGCATGATGATGCATGCCCACAGCATGATGATGCATGCCCGCAGCATGATGATGCATGCCCCCAGCACGATGATGCATGCCCCCAGCATGATGATGATGCATGCCCACAGCACGATGATGCATGCCCACAGCATGTTGATGCATGCCCACAGCTTGATGAGGCATGCCCACAGCATGATGACGCATGCCCGCAGCATGATGACGCATGCCCGCAGCATGATGACGCATGCCCGCAGCAGTATGACGCATGCCCGCAGCATGATGACGCATGCCCGCAGCCTGATGGCGCATGCCCGCAGCATGATGACGCATGCCCGCAGCATGATGACGCATGCCCGCAGCATGATGACGCATGCGGGCAGCATGATGACGCATGCCCGCAGCATGATGATGCATGCCCACAGCATGATGATGCATGCCCACAGCATGATGATGCATGCCCGCAGCATGATGATGCATGCCCACAGCATGATGATGCATGCCCACAGCATGATGATGCATGCCCACAGCATGATGATGCATGCCCGCAGCATGATGATGCATGCCCGCAACATGATGATGCATGCCCCCAGCATGATGATGATGCATGCCCACAGCACGATGATGCATGCCCACAGCATGTTGATGCATGCCCACAGCTTGATGAGGCTTGCCCACAGCATGATGACGCATGCCCGCAGCATGATGACGCATGCCCGCAGCATGATGACGCATGCCCGCAGCATGATGACGCATGCCCGCAGCATGATGACGCATGCCCGCAGCCTGATGGCGCATGCCCGCAGCATGATGACGCATGCCCGCAGCATGATGACGCATGCCCGCAGCATGATGACGCATGCGGGCAGCATGATGACGCATGCCCGCAGCATGATGATGCATGCCCCCAGCATGATGAAGCATGCCCACAGCATGATGATGCATGCCCACAGCATGATGATGCATGCCCACAGCATGATGATGCATGCCCACAGCATGATGATGCATGCCCACAGCATGATGATGCATGCCCAGAGCATGATGATGGCCCCGGCTCAGTCCGTGTTCATGTAACATGTCTACTCACAGAGTCTTGGTGCTATAAAGCTTCCAAAAGCCGAGCGGGACCACGCCAGTGAAGTGGTTGTGGGAAACATTTCTGCTCGCACCCTCGTAAACGTCAAGTGAAAAGAACATCCGACATCTCCATAGAATTGTATTTCACATAGTGCGTGCGGCATTCAAGCAAGGAAAGAATGAAGCAGAATAAAGATGAAACGGCGATAGAATTCACGAGAGCATTACAGGTGCTAGTGCGACAAATGGTTACGGGAGTGACTCACAGGTTCGTTAAGAAACCGTAGCCCATGCTGTCTGAGTCTATGGGGGGAAGCGGCCCTGAGAAATGGTTGGCTGAGAGGTCGCTGCATCATGCATGCCGTGAAGGCCGTGGGTGGGATGGGATGGGATGCAACGAAGGGCACAACAAAAGTGACATAGCTTTGATGAGCTCAAGTTCTGCTCTGCTGCTGTAGTGGAGATCAAAAGAGAATGATATCGTCTGGCATGGTAGTCTTGAAGGAGGCATCATGTGGTAGAAATGAGCAGAAAGAGCACAGGTAGAGCCGAGCCAGGCAAGCAGGCAGGCAGGCAGGCAGGCAGCCCCTGCTTGTCTGGGGAAAGAGCTGAGCCAGATGAGTCGTCGAGACGACCCACGAGATGGGCAACGTGGTGATTGATACAGCACCAGCACTTTAACCCTACTAATCGTGCACTCTTGTCGTCCAAAATCAAGCCCACCTACCTACGTTCGGACGAAAACCTAGGTATGTTGGCATGGGGGGGTGGGGGAGAGAGCGGATTCGACGAGTCGGGCTGGCTCGGCTCGACTCGACTCAAGCTGAGACAGAAAAGCTGGAGGCTAGACCTGCAAACGAACAACAGCTGAGGCGGCGACTTGAGTCACATGGAAGCATGGAGGGGGTAACATATTGCTCTGGGTGCATGGAGGGGTAACACGAGAGGGTTACAGGTCAGTGAGCTCCGGGTGCAGGATATGAGAGGGAAAGGGCCCCGTGAAGCTGTTGTTCGCAACAAATCTGAGAGGAGGGGGAAGGGCAGGTGGGGAAGTGCGGGGAGGGCGAATGGTGTATGTAGATGGTGAGAGGAGAGGACGAAAGGGAGAGGAGAGGAGGGAAACATGGATAGAGAAAGGGAAAGAGGAAACGAAGCTGGAAAGAAAATGGGAAATAGATGTAGGAATGAAAGGACGGAAAGAACTACTCTAAAAATCAGCAGGCCTTAAGATAATTATGGACCGCTTAGAGAAGCATGAACGAACTACGTTGAGACTTATGAAGCACGTACAGCTCCACAGAGTGGTTTGTTTGTTTGTTAGAGTGGTTTGTTTGTGGCGGCAAAATTTACTCGTGAGATTTCGCGAGTGTTTGGGAAGATTTCTTGTGATTGAGTTAGACATGAGCAATGAGGCGAGGATTTCCTCGCCTCGGAAATCCTCGCCTCGAAATTCCGGGGGTCGAGGCAGGTTTTCTGTGAAAAATCCTCGCGAGGATTCCTCGCCCCGCCTCGGCGAGGATTCGAGGCCTCGATTTTTCCTCGAGGCAAATGGGCGAGGATGTTCCCATTACCCCCCTCCCCCTAACCCCCCAGCCGCCCAGGTCAAGGAATCCTCGCCCCGGGTCAAGGAATTAATCCTCGAGGCGAGGATTTCAATCCTCGACCCCAAAACCCGGGGGTCGAGGGGGGATTTTCATGAAAAATCCTCGGCGAGGATTCCTCGACCCGCCCCGGCTAGGGCGCGAGGATGAGATCCTCGGGTCAAGGAATCCTCGCCTCGCCCCGTGCTCATGCCTAGATTGAGTTATATGCTTCAAATTTAGTGACTGTTCGTGAGAGTTCGCGAGATCTCGGGAGAATCTGTGAGGAGAAGTGTTTTAGCGAGATTTTGGTGAATTCTCGTAGGTTCTCGGGGGAATCTAGTGGGATTTCGTGGGAGTGAAATGGTGTTGGGCGAAATTCGCCTCTAGTGCAATTTTGACCAATCAAATTGGTCGAAATTGGATAGTGCTTGACCACCAACCTAGAGTGACGAATTTGTGGGCCCCCTTGAGGTTGGGGTCCAATCATGAGCAAGTAAAGTGGTTGGAGGTGGTCAAAGGGCGAGTTGACCTTGGTACAGCGGGTATGCCATTAGGTCCATGACATTGGACTCCATATAATACTCCAACGTCCGGAATTCGATACAATCCTCCACGATGTACTCCGTGTGTACAGTATACATGTACTATCTGACTTCGTTAAAAAAGCGCAATAAACATAGTGCCAGTCACCACAGTCGCATAGTGTCACCGACCATCGAATCGCGCCACCCAAATTGGGTGCGATTTCAGTGTGCGAGCGTCGCCAACCAACCCGCGTGTGCGTTCTCGTGAAATCCCCGTGAATTGCGTTTGGAATTGCCCAGCCAATTCGAGCTCGCCAGGGCGATGCTACGTAATCACGACGGACCTCGGGAGCGAACACAGAATCACAGACAGCCCGCTAGTACCCCCGTCCAGCAGGCAATTTTGCATGCGCGCTGGCATGAGCATGCCTACGGACCCCCTCGGTTGATGAGGCAGACAGAGGTCGTATTTACACTCCGCCAAATCAGTGTCTAATCAACGACCGAACTACTTCGCCGGGCTCAATTATCTGGTCACAATGAGGTTACTCAGGAGAACATCGCTGACGATAGCTATGAAGGTCGGAATCTGCTGACATGCTGAAGCGCATTCACACCTTCGACTCGCCGACATCGCTCGGTGGTGTTTCACGAGATACGGTATTTATCCCGGCCCCAGCACCGTGGGAAAAATCCTGAAGGAGGCGGACAAGTGGAAGGCTCCTGGGCCAGAGAGCTCCGCCACTCGACGTCTACGTTCCGCCTTCTACCCACTGCTTGAGCAGCGGCTGAAGTCATGGTTGGGCCGGGCGGCAAAGGGTGGGCTGCCAATCACCATCAACGTCATCCAACAACGTGCCAGGATTATGGCTCCGGACGCCGGCGTGCCAGTTGGATTTAAGGCCAGCATCGGGTGGGTGCAGAAAGCATTGAAGCGGATGGGATACAAGTGGCGGCACAGGCAGGACGAAGCTAACGACCAGGACCTAGGCGCCGTGATGACGACGAAAGCCACATGCCCACAGTTGCTCACTCTGCTCGCCGTCGCGCCTCGCGACTGCTTCAACTACGACGAGACTGGATGCGCTTGGAACCAGATTCCGAAAATGACTTTCGCAGAAGGCCCTGTGAGTGGCGGCAAAAACAGGAAGGACCGCATAACTGTCGCACTGATGTGCAACGCCGACGGCTCGCAAATGTTCAAGCCCCTCATTGTGAGCAAAACCGCCAATCCTCGCTGCTTCGCACGGAAGAAATTTGATCCTGCGACGAAGTGCGTTTGGCGCGGCAACGGATCCGGCTGGATGACTAGCCAGGTAAGCGCATGAAGGAGTATTGTTCGCGCCCTTTTGAACCTAGTGCGTGCATTTTGCGATTGCGACATTGTTGCTGTTGCTTTTATTGCCCGCCTTTTTCCGTAAGCTCGAACTTCGAATTGTGAAGTTTCACTACTCTCCCGCCGCAGTTATTCACGGAATACATCGAGCACATCAACGCTTGCTGTTTCGCCGAGGGCCGCAGCATCGTCATCCTGCTGGACAACGCTAGCTGCCACAACCTCATGTCTCCACTCGCCACGTCGGCTGACATCCTCGGCTTCCGCACACGCGCGCTCAGCAACGTTCGTCTTGTGCTTCACGCAACCGCTGGACCAGGGGCTCATCGCGACGCTGAAGGCTCGGTACCGATCGTACCATACCCTCGACATGTTCCGCGAATGGGAAGAATTTCAGAGCGAGGGAAAATTGTTGCACTACAAGCCCGACATGGTGCTGGTCATAACATGGCTGTCGGACGCGTGGTTCTCGATCGAGCCCGAAACCGTCCAGAAGTGCTGGTGGCGGACGGGTATCCTCCCTGCTAGCTGGCTCGCGAGACTCCCCCTGGTCGGCACCACGGTCGCTGAGCAGGAACATAATTTGCCGGCAGAGTTCACGGCAGTCGCAGAGAATTTGGCACGGCTGCCATGGGCCGACGAGGACCGCATGGATGCGGTTCAGTTCGTCACATGCGACAGCGACGATGAGATATGCGACCCTTGTGGCGAGGATCCCCACGCTTTGGAACCTCTGGGCACTCCCGCAAGCGGCGCATGGTATCTCTGTGCCCCGGAAATTCCGCAGCCAGTTCATGATTCGCGTAATCGCCGGCATCTTAGCCGCATGGCGACAGAGATGCTGGTCGGTTATTCGCGGTCCATCGGGCTCATCCCGAGGGACCTCCGCATTCTGTTCGACATTCGAGATCCGTCCGTCATTGATCGTCTTGAACGCGACGGCCGCATGGACGGCTGGGTGGACTCGGCTGAGTGGATGCGCTGAGAGAGCACTGTGTTGTGCTCCGTGTTGTGTGTTTTTCTGCTGCGATTGCTCTTGGGAGTGTGCTGACTTTTGCTGGGCCGGGCGTGTTTTACCTTTGTGGTTGTTTTATTTTGCACGTAGGATTTGTGTTGTTGCTCGGTTCTGTTGCCGCGTCACTACTTGTGTCAGTGCTGATGTGTCGCTTCGGGTTTTTCTGGGTGGGTTTGAGTGTTTTGGTGTTGTTGGACTATTTGTTGTGTGTGTTGGAAACTTTTTTAATGAAACGGGTTTTGAAATCCGACGTGTCTCGTGGTAACACAAAATGTCGCACCATCGGACAAGGCACCCTTCTATGAACAGAATATACCAGACAAGTCACTCCGACACGCATGTTCACTCGTTAGTCCATTTTGCCCCTACCGTACGGGCCCTATTCGACTAAGTCGATATCTGCGAGTCGCAGATTTGGAGCATAGAGCATAGCATACCCGCTGTACACCTCCCAAGAGGGTGGTGAAGCACCAAGAGACTTTGGTGCACCTCCCCTAGTCCCAAACAGGTGGAACCAATCAGATTTCGCGACTCCTATCCAACCATTCAACTACAATTCGGTGCGCATTCGGAAGACTAACGACAACCACCGAATTTCGGTGCATATTTCGGTTACGAAGCTCGGATCGAAGTGGGTCAATGCGAACCGCAGCTGAAACCGAACGCGGAGTGCGCCGAACTTGTTCCTTGCTTATTCTTGCTTGTGTTTAAATAGGTGTGTGCGAACTTGCATTGTAATCCCAACTCTTTACTGAAATTGAGCGAAACTTCACTTGTTTTCACTAGAGAAGAAGTCTACTTGCTATCCTCAGCCATAGCAACCTCCTTTGCTGGAGGCACTGTCGAATTAAAGCTGCTACCACTCCTACGAAATCCCACTAGACTCCCCCGAGAACTCACGAGAGCTCACCAAAATCTCGCTAAAACACTTCTCCTCACAGATTCTCCCGAAATCTCGCGAGCTCTCGCCAACACTCACTAAATTTCAAGCATATAACTCAATCACGCGAAATCCTCCCAAACACTCGCGAAATCTCACGAGTAAATCTTGCCATCACAAACAAACCACTCTAACACAGAGCACACACAGCTTCACAGAGCACGCACAGCTTCACAAAGCACGCACATTTCGTGGAGGTAAGAATCACCAGAGAAGGAAGGGAAGGGGCCTGAGAAGTTGCATGAATTCACATCACTGACGAGCAGAGGAAGGGGAGACGAGAGGAAAGGGGAGAAGGTGTGGCAGAGAATACAGATGCACAGCGGATACAGTAATTGAGGGCGACCAAGTGCAGTGAATCGGAAATTTTGCCGATGCTGATGAATCGGAACCCTTTGCCGCACTCGGTGCCAGTGCAAACGAAGCACAATGTTGACATGCCAAGAGGTGCTGGATACAAGAGGTGCTGCACTCTGGTTCATTTGCCACACCTGATCTCTCCAGACACCATGCCTTGCTAAGTTGGTATCGTAGTGCACTGCGAGCTCACATGCGATAGTAATCCATCCCTTTGTTGTTGACCTTTGAGTCGACTCAAAAGTCACCCTGTGCGAGGTTTCTTTGAGAAATCTTTAAAAAACCCTCAAAAGTCACCCCGTGTGTGCGAGCTCACATGCGATAGTAATCCATCACTTTGTTGTTGCTATTGGATGGCGCAGGATGGATGTCCAGAAAGAAATCCAGCCCGCCAGACAGCGGATTGTGGCTCAGATTTCTGCTCAAGTGCCATGCACAGAATGGGAAGAAGCGGTGGTGTTGCTGAGGGCCCTTAGGGTTGGGGGTAGACATGAGCAACGAGGCGAGGAATTCCTCGCCTCGGAATTCCTCGCCTCGGAATTCGGCTATTCGAGGAACCCAACTTGGCAAAATTCCTCGCCGAGGATTCCTCGCCTCGCCTCGCCGAGGAAACGAGAATTCGGATTTCCTCGGGTGCAGAATGGCGAGGAATTTCATTCCTCGCGGGGAATTTTTCCCTCGCGAGGAAAAATTCCTCGCGTCATTTTGTTCCAGCGCGCCTCGAAGCGCGCTGGTACAAACTCAAAAAATGTGGGTTGGCTGATCCATTTTTTTAGGATCAGCCAAGCCTAGCAGTTTCGTTTTGAGGTAGTGTCAAGCCTACGCAGGCTCCTATGAGCTAATGTTTGCCATTTCGTTAGCTTAAACTCGATTCATGGGGGGGGGTTGTTGACTTGGCGACACTAGGGATAGTGTTAGGGGGATTTGCTGATGCAAAAAACAGCATTGGGAGGCAAATAGGTCTGTAGGGCGCAAGCACGCCTGTTCAACAGCCAGCAAGCTCCAGGCCCGGGAGGAATGGGGGGCCGCTCAACACGTGGTGGAGGGAGGGGGAAGAAGAGGGGCCGCGGTGCTGCTGCCCGCGGCGGAGGGGAAGGGAGGGGTGGTAGAAAGGGAGAGGGGGAGGGGGATGACGGGGGATCCGCGCCCACGGCAACGCAGCAGCGTCATTTTAAGCTTGCTGCCGCCGAGGCCGACCTTGAGAAAGCGCGAGAGGCCGCGCGTGATGGGGCTGGGAGGAAGGGTGGCGGCCTGATGTGTGCAGGGATAAGTGGCGCCAAACAGTGCGGGAAGGGGGCTGGTGACGCTCAGCGAATCTGCAACAATGGAGGGGAGGGGGAGGAAGAGAATGAGGAGGAGGAGGGGGGGGAAGGGGGCGCGAAGGGGGAGGACGAGGCTGAGAAGGAGGAGGAGGAGGAGGAGGAGGAGGAGGAGGAGGAGGAGGAGGAGGAGGAGGCGTATGACGTGCTTGCTGGTGGGGATGGTGATGGGGGGAGAGAGAGCATTAGCGGGGATTACAGCGACGAAGAGGTGTACGAGGGGGCCGAAGGGGAACCGGAGGAGCGTGAGGAGGAGGATTTGGCCGACTTGGTATCTGATGATGGAGGGGACGGGGTGGGGATGAAGAGGAAGGAACTTTTGAGGGCCATAAAGATTGAGAAGGGTCAGGAAAGTGGTAAGAGGACAAAAGTGAATGCGGGGCAGAAAGCAATCGCCGCCAAGGCTAGAGGAGGGGGTGCCGGCAGGCGGGCGGGCACTATTGCTGCTCGGGGTAGGGGGGCTGGCGGGCAGGAGAGTGCCCGCGCTAGGGGTGGGGGGGCTAGCGGGTGGGCGAGCGTGTACTGGCAAGCCAAAGTCGGGGAAGGCAGTCAAGGGCGATGGGATGGCAGCGAGATGCTTCGAGCGTCGCCTCGAGCTCGGTATCAAGCGCCGCTGCAGGATGTGTAGTTGTCCCATCACTTGGAAGGGGAGCTCTACCACTGCAGGGCGTGACCACATGAGGACCAAGCATCGTGCGCATTGGGACATATGGGTGCGCAAGTGGGAGGCTCAAGAAATCGGCCCGGATGAAGTGTTTCCCGAAAAGGGCTTTGGGGAGCCAGGCGAGGTGCCCGATGGGAAGGCGGTATGGCCAGACTCGGCTTGGTGGCCTGGGGATCCGCCGCCGGAGGTCGGGGGAGAAGGGGGACAGAAGGGGATGAAGAAATACTACTCTGCACGCATGGACAAGGATTATCTGCATTAGATGATCGTGGAGTACATCGTCGACTCCGACTCAGCCTTCAGCACCACAGATCGCCCATCGGTAACCCTCAACCCTCAACTCAGCGCGTACTTGGCCCATGCCAGATATGTGTCATGTGTCGTGCACTTAATCCATCTTGTGTGGCCAAGTGCCAAATGGCAATGGATACATGCGACGCCCGAATTTCACGCATGCTACCATGCCCCTGTCCTGTATCCTTGCACCGCCCTTCTCCACAGTTTCGCCGCATGATGGCAGCTGCCAACCCCCTTTGTGCCGACCCTGGGGTCATCCCGGGGCGGCACACAGTTGGGCGCGACTGCATCCGCCTTGCGGATCTTGCGCGTGCGATATTGAAGGAAGAGATCGCGGAGGCCAAGGGAGTCGGGATGATCAGCCTGACCACTGACATCTGGACAGGGGAGAACAGTCGTGGGTACATGGCCGTCACAGCCCATTGGCTCACGGCAGAGTTCGACCTCAGGCAGGGACTGCTTGAGTTCGTTGCACTACCGCCCAGCCACACGGCCCAGGTGATTTCGCAGGTGCTGGAGGCTGTAGCGCGCGACTGGGGACTAGAGGGGCGACTGATGGCAGTGACCACGGACAACGCCGCTACCAACACTGCGGCGATGCGGTGGTTGTCTTGTGGCAGCGCTGGCGGGCGTGTTCCTCCTCTATTCAAGACGGGACTTCACATCCGGTGAGATTCGACACTCACCATACTCGGCGTTCAGCTTGTGGTGCTCGAACCTTTCCTTGCCAATATCAGTCAGTCAGACACTTCCTATTGTCTGCCCCTCCCTCCCCCTGACGCACCTAAAACCCCCTCCACCTTTACCCTACGCCTGTGTTGCTCCCCTTTTTCAGATGCCTTGCACACATATGCAATCTTGCAGTGCAGCAAGTGTTGAAGACTATGGAGCCATGCAAGCTGCCCCTGGGGTTGCTGCGTGAGCTGGCTAGCTTCATCGGCTTCTCTACCAAGCAGACACCGCACGAAGCAGTCCCCATGGCTGAGCTCACAAGGTGGTAACCATGCCGTGCCGGTTGCACTCCACTCCCTCCCAGGTGCTGCAAAGCGCTTCTGGGTTCGGCTCCCCCAGCTTCCAACGCCGCGCAAGCAGCAGTAGCACTCGCACTGGTGATCAAGGGGGGCGGCACGGCAAGAGCGTGGAGCGGGCAGGACAGGAGCGAGGAGGAGGAGGTGAGCGCCTTATAGCAGCCTCCCTGCTCGCCGCGTTGCTGGGGTTGGTGCAAGTAGCCCCACTGCGAGCGCCATGGGCAGGAGGCGGCTCAACGTGCTCCGAGCGACCTGTGGGGGGGGTGGGTGGGACTCGCCTGCTGCTGGGTGGGAGGATCCTCCGAGGATCGTCCTCGCTGTGGAGTGTGGAGTGTGCATAGCGTACGCGTGTGGCGCGGTGGGCACACCACTGCAGCGCACTCTGCCCCCATGTGGAGAGTGGAAGTGAAAGGGCCTGAGCATGGTATACACGCACGCCTGAACCCCTGTGGGAGGTGGCTGCGCGGCCCATGATCTACTACTATCCCCGTTGGACAAAGAAAACCAACCTGGGGGGCAGGGCAGGTCGTTGCCCGCTACAGACCTGATGAGGTCAGGTACCGGTATGGGCCACCCGGGCGGGCCCCACAGTCGCCAACTGCCGTCCAGGCGGCAGGACATCTGGAAGCCTAACTCAGCCGGCGCAATGCAACACTCTGGATACCAACCAGGTACGGAGCTTGGTCAAACGGACAGATGCTTGCCGTGAAAGCTATTTTATGTACCCTTCTTTTTTATTTCACCTAAGAAGCCATTTTTATGTCGCTGCCATAAAATCGGGCATTTTGGGGTAAAAAGGACCTGCCAGAATGGATAGGGAGCACTCGCAGCCACCGAATTCTGGCCCCCAGCTGCGACGTGCCACGTGAACCATGAACATCTTTAAAGCAAGCCGTAGTACTACTCCTTGTACTGCTATCACGATGCCGCACTCGCAGCCGTAGTACTCCTTGTACTGCTATCCGCGTCTCACATTGCGAGGGTGCGAGCATGATGCCACCCTGGTCCGGTGCTGCCAAGCGACGCCGAGCGACCGACGGACGACGGCCCGCCGCGACAAGCGCCGAGGCAGCGGCTTGCGACACTCGCGACCCGGTTACTAGGCCGCCGGTGTGGCCGTCGGTTGCAGCGGCGGGAGAGAGGAGCACGACGAGCAACATCACGCGGAGGTAGTGGTATGGGTGGCTGGGGTCGACTCGGAGCAGCGAGTTTCGCGCCATGATCAGCGAAAAGAGAGAAAGGATGTCTGGCAAATGCACATTCGTCGGGAAGCGACTGGGCAACGTCACGGTGTATAAGGAGAAAAGAAACTAGTAGTAGGCGGAATCTGTGCGTAAAGTGCTCCGTGGCACTCGGTTACGCCCCGAAGTTGTCAGGCGAGGAGTTGGGCGTACAGTACTAGGAGATTCTGCTTTCATGTTCAGCTCTCGTCAAACTCCTGGAGTGACCATATGTCAGGTTTCAGGTATGAATGGGCTTGCCCTGCGCGGTTTAGGGCGCGTGGAAAGTAGAACGGCGGCTCCGTTCGTCCACTCCATTCGCCCGTTCGTCCGTTCGTTCTGCCCGTCGGGAGATTTTGGGCTGATTTACAGTCACGAGGTGATTCAAACTAGGCAACCCAACATCTTGACTTCAATTTTTGAAACTGTAACACAAAAACGATGATTTCGACAATCCGCCAAAATGCAAAACAGCTCGCATTTTGTTCAGAGTTTGCGGGAAACAATTCGCGATTTCTGGGTTTTGCGGTTTGGCGAAATGAACATTGATGTTCGTGCCGGCGCGCACGCTCAACTTTCAAGAAACTTTCGAGACCTGCCCATCAAGTTACTTGAACTTTTGCCACAAAACATTTTGCAGGCACGCGATTAGCCACAGACCCGCGGCTCCGTTCGTCCACTCGTCCACTCCGCACAGCGACTCGATTGTCTGTTAGGTTAACATCCTTGCGGTCGCAACGGTCAATCGCAACCTCTGGTTGCGACCCGTCGAGTCCCTTAGCTCTTTCGTATTCTTTCGTCCAACCTCCTCGTGTAACCTCCGTTGACTCGCGTACCCGACACGTTCTTCCTCAAGTGTAGTGTTACACATCAGAAACGCTTAAGTCTTTGAGGTATTTCCAACACTCCCCTTCGTTTCTGGAGTGCTGACGTGTCCGGATTTGGTGACGTTTATCTGCCCGGTCAGCAGCATGCAGGAATCGAACTTTGCCTTCGCCAGTTTCTTCGTCAAGTAATCTGCAGCCATTTCTGTTGTGGGGCAGTAACTGAGTTGAAGTCTCCCCTTTGCGATCTCATCCTTGACGAAGAAATACCGCAGGGCGATGTGCTTGGTTCGATTGGCGAACCCGTCTTTGTTCGCAATTTTGATCGCGGATTGGTTGTCGCAGAATAACGAGAAGGCCGGCATAGTCGCGATTTTCGCTTCCTCGAGCAGCTCCCGCAGGTAAAGTCCCTCTTTGGTTGCAGCGCAGAAAGCTATGTACAGTGGCGGATTAAATTGTCCACATGTTTTGCCTTTTTTGGCATTTTTATGAGTGCAGAGGCGTATACATTAAGCCTTAATGTACGGTGTGCATTAACGCTGAGAAGTTCAGTTAGAGCAGTCACTCCAGTGTTCAAACACCAAAGTAGTACCACACATGGTCCTTAAACTCCTAAGCATAGCATGGGAGAACATGTGGACAATTTGTACCGGAAAATGGTATCACACTAGATTCTAGGAAAACTAGTACCTAGTCCAGCGTCCCTTTGCCCGAATCACTGCCTTGATCCTCCTCGGCAGGCTGTCGATCAGGTTTGCACACACCTCCGGCGGTATCTTGTCCCATTCCTCCTGCACCCTCTCCCACAGCTCCAGCATTCCCCTTGGCGGCTTTTCGTACTTCCCCAGCTGCCTTTTCAAGTATGCCCACAGGTGCTCAATTGGGTTAAGGTCCGGGGAGCACGACGGCCATTCCAGCACCGCGTACTCCTGCTCCCCAAGCCAGTCTTGGACCAGACGACACCTGTGCTTGGGATCATTGTCGTGCTGGAAAATGACCTCTGAGGGGGAAAGCTTGAAAAAATCGATGGTCTGTTTGAGCTCATCTTGCAAGATGCTGCGATACAGCGGCCCATCCATCCTGCCATCTATCTTGCACATGAACCCCGCCCCCTCATACGTCATGCAACCCCACACCATCACAGAACCGCCCCCATGCTTAACTGTCTGTTGGACTTGGTGGCTCCGAAGGCTGGTGCCCTCGCGAATCCAGGCGTACGCACGTCCGTCGGAGCAGTAGCGGTTAATCTTCGTCTCGTCAGACCAAATCACCCGCTTCCAGTCCTCCAGCGTCCAGTCGGCATGCGCCCGCGCGAAGTCGAGACGATCGCGGATGTTTTTCGGTGAGAGCCTGGGTTTCTTGGGCTGATGCACGGCGATCAGCCCCGCGGATCGTAAAGAGTTGCGGACCGTCTTCGAGTCTACGGCGAGATCGTGCTTCTCCAACAACATCTTGGCCGCGTCTGAAGAGCTTTTCGCCTCGCCGCTAGTAATCGCACGTATAACTCCGCGCTGGAGACGGGTTGTGATTAAGCGGGGGCGGCCGGCCGAAGGCATCGTAGGTCGCACCTCCTCGCGACTAGTCTCCTCAGCGAGTTTCATACCGTAATCGTGCACGGTGCTCTTGCCTATGCCAAGAAGTTTCCCTATTTTCCTAGTCGAATGCCCCGCACGCAACATGCTTCTGATCCTCGCGCGCTTCTTCTCATTTAACGGCTTCATAGCGATGCGGTCGTAGGCTCGCTTCCGGACTAACAACTAAGCTAGGAACTGGTGCGCGTGACGATGTACACACTGAGCGACGGGGGAAAATAGATCTACTCTTCCGCTCGGTAGGAAATGTCCACATCGACAGTCGAGTAGTAAATTTCAACCCCACTTTCCGTTAGTGTCACAATCGCGCCAAGCAAGAAACGGATGAAGCAGAACTCAAAAACCGAGTAACAGAATGGAAAAAAACGGGTGTTACTATTTTCGAAACATGTGTTGCATAACGATACGTTTCAAAGTGTTAAACATCCGGGCAATTTAATCCGCCACTGTATTCCGCTTCAGCCGAGGATAGCGCGATTAATTCCTGCTTGCTCGACTGCCAGGAAATAGTCCCGGTAGGTTCTAGTCGGTAGATGTAGCCTGTACTGGAGCGTCGATTTTCCTTATCTCCCGCGTGGTCGGCGTCGACATAGCCGAGTAGTTATACGGATGACGGTGTTACTTTACTGTAGGTGAGTCTGAGTGTTGGCGTAGAGACGAAATACAGCAGTGCCTGATTCAGCTCCTCGAGGTGCTCTTGCTCCGGCTGCTTCAGGTGTGTTGCCAGTTGGCTAGCGTTGTAGGACAGATCCGGTCAACAGGTTACTGCTGCGAACAGGAGGCAGCCGAGCTTCTGTTGGTTTTCCTAGGTTTGCTTCGCGGGGAGCTTTGCGGAGGTGTCGCTGTTGTCGTTCCCGTAGCGATAGGGAGTCGCAACTGCGATCGGCGTTTGTGAGAGTACGGTCCCGTTACACCACTTGTCCCTTTTCTGATTTCCTTCTTCGTTCATTTCTCTCTTTATCCCATCTCATTTGGTTTCCTCTTTTCTATTTCCCATTTACCTTTGGTTTATCCTGCTATTATAATTATATCACCGACCAGGCTTGGAATGTACTGGTGCGCTATCTAGCGTAATCCTGCCGTAATCCCTTAAAGCCAATAGCCTCGCGTGGCTATACGCAGGGTGATTCTATCTTCTAGAAGGGTCTATTCCCTTGGGATAAGATAAACCTGGTTACCTGATGTACTCTGGAAGTATAAAAGCGCCTTGTACTGATCGATAGTGCAATCTTTCCTCGAGTCATTCGATCCTGTGACACTTGGTAATCAGAGCTTTTCTCACTCGGCCGCGCTCAACAAAGCAGCAGCAGCGGGAAAACCTGCCTCGAAAAAACCGCCGGGGGCGACCAATTCGACGCCGATTCTGGTAAGCACCAGCTCCGCGTTTTTTCGAATCACCCCCCCCCCCCCCCCAGCGCGTGTTTTGAACAGGAACGCCGAGGTTACCCAGTAGCTCTTCGTGCGTATCGCAGCTCTTAAGGAGGAGATGCGAGCGGATCGCGAAGCGTGGCGAAACGAGTTCGAGCGAGTAACTCGACTCGTCGGAGCGCAGCACGACTTGACAACGGCGACGACTCAGCAGTCGCAGTAGTTTCTCGAGGGTCCGAAACCGCGCCCACCTGAGCCGATCGATCCGAGCGATCGAAACACCGACGTCCGCAGATGGATCGCCGGGATGGAGATCTACTTCGCAGCCGTCAGATGGAGCTCGCCAGTCTGGGACGGACAACGCGTACGACTCGCGGCGACGCTGATGCGAGGGCCAGCACTCGAGTGGATTGGCGGTAACAGCACCTTCATATCAAACTGAGTGAAGTGAATAATTAGATAGAGGGAGAGTACAAATAGATATACCTAAGTATTGTACCCTCTAAGAGATGACCCTATACAGTCTATGCAAACATAACAAATACACATGTTTGACACACCCCCTAGACTGCATAGGGGAATGTTCTAAACAAGCAGCTCAGGGCGGCACTACTAGTCCAACCTCTGAGACAAGGGTCTAAGAGACCAGTCAGAAGGAGTACAGACAAGGCGAGAACAAGACCAGGGCGGTACTACTAGTCCAGCCACTGGGAGAGGACACAAGTCCAGTCTGAGTATACATATAAAGGACAGTACAAAGTCAAGGCCCTAGCAAGTGAGAGGCTACATGAACTAGACCAAGCTGTACACAGTGCCGCTGATGATCTTTAGGCGCAAGCGCCTTCGTAAAGATATCAGCTGTGTTGGCACCTGAGGCCAAGTGTACTACGCGAGCCTGACGTCGCTGCTGTAGCTCACGCAGGAGGAAGTACTGCAGCTGAATATGCTTCGCTCTGCCCTCGAGTCGAGGCTCCTGACACAGGAGGATCATGGCCCTGTTGTCAACGAACAGGACCGGGGCAGAGCTAGGCCGCTCACCTAAGTCAGTGAGCAAGAAGGTCAGCCAGCGGAGCTCCTGTGCCGCCATGGCACCAGCGTAGATCTCAGCCTCACAGCTGGACTGGGCAACAGACGAGGAGCGGGTAGCTCTCCACGAGACGGCACCTGAGCCAAGGCTGAAGCAGTAGCCCTGGGTAGACCTGAGTGTCTCAGCGTCGTCTGCCCACGAAGCGTCTGTGTGTCCAGTAAGGACCACTGGCATGCGTCCTCCTAGCACTAACCCCATGCCCGATGTACTAGCAAGATAACGCAAAACCCTTTTAGCGGCAGACCAGTGCTGCGGCCGGTGTCTGCCTGTGGCCACAAAGCGAGCCAGGATGCTGAGAGGGTATGCGAGATCTGGGCGAGTGCAAGTCATCAGGTACATGAGGCAACCCACCAGCTCTGCGTAGG